CTGTGGTGTTGGAGAAGACTCTTGAGAGTCCCTTGGACTGCAAGGAGATCCAACCAGTCCATCCTAAAGGAGATCAGTCCTGGGTGTTCATTGGAAGGACTAATGTTGAAGCTGAAACTCCAATACTTTGGCCACCTGATGCGAAGAGATGACTCATTTGAAAAGACTGTGATGCTGGGAAAGATTGAGGGTGGGAGGAGAAGGGAATGACAGAGGATGAGATGGCTGGATGGCATCACCGACTCGATGGACATGGGTTTGGGTGGACTCCGGGAGCTGGTGATAGTCAGGAAGGCCTGGCGTGCCGTGGTTCATGGGGTTGCAGAGTTGGACACGGCTGAGCGACTGAACTGAACCGAAGAAGCCTTCACAGATGTATCTCTTATGATCTTCAGACCAATTCTCCAAGGAATGTTATTGTCCCCATTTTACTGACACAGAAACTAAGCTTGAGTAATCTTCCAATATCACACAGCAAGAATTGAGATTTGAACCCCATTTTGCCTGATTTCAAAGCTCATGCTCTTTCTCTACTACATATATTACCTATTGGAAGCATGAGTCAGAGAAGCCTTGATGGGAAAAATGGCATATGAACAGAAACCTTGATGGGTAGGTAGGTTTTAAGGTGGGAGTAAGAACTACAAATTCATGCCTAGTATTTTTCTCAACTGAGGGACAGGTGGGTGTTAAATCTGTCAAAAAACTGTTTTATGCCCTAGTATGATACACTGTTTGCTCAGAGTAGTGTAAAACCACTAAACAGTCTCTTAGGTGTGAGCTGAACAGAGACGTGGAGAGAAAAAACAAGACAAAAATCTTTTAGTGGAGGAGCAGTTGGGAGGAGCAAGCCTATCAGCTGAAAGGATATCCACTGCAAAACTGTCCTCAGAAGAGAAGGAAGGCGGCAGAGGTTCTCTAGAACAAACGTTCCCATCCAAAGGGGTAAATACATCGCTAGGCTCCAAAGAACAGAGTGGGGAAGTGCCTTCAATCAGTAATGTTCAGTCCTTGTGGTCTTGCTTCCTTCTTATTCCCCAAATCTGTCTCTTGCCCAATTTTTGAGTTTTTGGAAAGCTGGGGGCCACACTTAATAAGGCTCAGCTGTGGTAGCATGTTTGGGCCATTCCAGCAGCTGGTAGGGAGAGGAGGCAGAGAAGGCAATGGCACCCCACTCTTGTCTGGGAAATCCCATGGACGGAGGGGCCTGGTGGGCTGCAGTCCATGGGGTTGCTAGGAGTCGGGCACGACTGAGCGACTTTACTTTCACTTTTCACTTTCATGCACTGGAGAAGGAAATGGCAACCCACTCCAGTGTTCTTGCCAGGAGAATCCCAGGGACAGAGGGGCCTAGTGGGCTGCCGTCTATGGGGTCGCACAGAGTCAGACATGACTGAAGAGACTTAGTAGCAGCAGCAGCAGGAGGGAGAGAAGGAAGCTGGGACTGTGAGAGGCTGGAGTTAGTTAAGTCTGCTAATGACGCTTGAAAGCCGATCACTTAATTTACTCCAATAAACAAAAGTCAAAGAGCCTTGGCTAAACATCAGGCTTGCTTGGTGTGTGCATCAGTATGCTAAGAGGTCTAAAACTGCCCTACTGACTCTATCTTCAAAACCTATCTCCAATCCCTATTTATAGGCAATAACGAAACTACAGCTAACATTTAACACTCATTTAATAATGAGCCAGGTGCTATATTGTTATCTCACTTAATCACCTCATGAAGCAATGACTATAGTAACTACTCTGGTAATAAAAACTATCATTTTATGAGGGCTTACTGGATGCCAGTAGGTACTAAATGCTTTTAGATAGAAAATATTTAATTCTCAAAGTAGTCCTAGAGGTAGATACTATTACCATCCCCACTTTATAAATGAAGTCAGCCACAAGATTAGGTAATCTGCCTAAAGTCTCACAGCTGTGTTGGGCTTGGAATCCAGTTTTTAACGTCCAAGTCCATATATCTATCACTATAGTCCACTACCTTTCCTATTCATATCTACTTATCAAACTTGTTCACGTTTAGTGGACACTGTCCTGATCAGTTCTCTTATTAACAGATCACTCACACTTGCTGGCATTTTGGCCATCACGGGGAGTCTCAGGCTTCCTGGTCAATTGTTCTTACAGGTTAATAGTATTGACTTCCTCCTACCCACACTTAAGATCTGCTTATTGTTTCTGAATCTACCTTGCTGAATTGTGTTGTTTTCATAAACATATCATGCTAGGTTTTGTTTATATGCTCTTTCTGAACTGCTACTCTGAAATCTTCTTTTCAAGGTTCTCTATAATCAAACCTTATTTTTCAGTATTCCCAAACATGGACCAAAGTGAAGCTGATCACTATTCTCTATAGAAGCTATGACATCTGTGACCTTGCTCTTTCTGGTTTGATGTGCCTCTTTCATTTCTCTCCTCACCTTCAAATGCTATCCTGTTCATCAAGATAAAGTCAGTCTACCTGACTGCCCTCAGCTCTACTGCTCATAATTTTCTCTGAATGTAGGTAGCACTGCATTCTCCTCAAAGACACAGAATGTAATTCCATGTTTTTAATTATTTCTATAAATGCTAGGCTATATGGTTCTCCATATAGGAACTGTTATTTATATGTTTTTTTCCTTCTGCGGTCTTAGGCACTACAGTGTTACAATTAAAAGAGCATTAAGGAGGGACCTCACTGGTAGTCCAGTGGTTAAGACGGCACTTTCACTGCAGGGGGCAGGATTTGATATGTGGTTCCAGAACTAAGATTCCATAAGACCTGCGGTGAGGGAAAAAAAAAAAAAAAAAAAAGCATTAAAGAAATGAAAGTTATTGCCCTTGATCTGGTATTGAGAGTCTCAAGCTCTCTGATACACATCCTATTTTTTTGTAAGTAAACAGTGCTATGTATTTAAATGCAAGGTCCAAAACACCTTGAAGAGCACTGACTAGCAGATGTCTGTCAATAAGATGAAAACATGATATATACCTTGGTGCTTCTGATTGTCCATTACCATGATGTTTCATTTTTATAAACCTTAGGACAGTACCAAGCTATAAATTAAGTATAAATGTTGACTTTCAGTAAAACTGTGACTGCTTACAGCACAAAGGTTAGCAACAATGGATACCAGAGGGCAGTAATAAAATGTTATATACAGTTTCTCTTATCATTTAGAGGAAGAAATTAATTTGTCATATTGCCACTGTACTAGTAAAGTGAGGCTATAGTTAAGGGGAAAGTGAATATAGAGCTCAGATGCTATAGCAATGCATAAAAGCATGAGGTCAAATCAAATAATTTAAATGTTTATCTAACATTTTAGCAATAAGAAATCTAAACGTGAGTTTCCTTTTAGTAAATTTTCATAACTTGATGCACCATAAAATGCTGCCATAACTTCTGACTTACATATTAAATTACATAAAACACAGTTTGAAGACTTCTTTAAAAATTCTTCTCTAAATATTAGCACCAGCAGACAGTAATATTACTACTCTGAACCTGGATCTGCATCAATCTGAAGTATGGCTGACTCTACAGTCATACCACCCTGAATTCAACTGACCTTGTCTGAAGGATGGTTGACAGGTTAAATATGAGGATCGAAAAAATTGGGGGAAAAAAAAAAAACACTTTCTAGGTGACAACTACTTTTATACACAAAATTGGTGGAAAATGCTTGATTTTCATATAAAGTATTGTATTTACAGAAACAGGGAGGTATGGAAGAAAGGTTGTTTCCCCCAATTTGCAAAACACAAAAAATGCCCAGCAATTGAAAACATCTTGAAAACTACTTAGGGATACAGAAACTTACATTTTAACAAAAGCAGGACTAACTCTGAATCACAATTGTCCTTAGTTGTGAACGCACTTAAAAACTTGTTTATAAAGCTGCACAAAAGGTAAGTCTTAAAAGATCCCACCAAAACATTCACCAAATAACACAGAACACTTACAGTGTTACTCATCATATTATTCCAAGCTCTCACTGGTTAACTATACAGACAGAGCACATCGCTACACATACTTGACTCCGAATTCAGCACCATGAAACCGCTTCTCTAAGAGGTTGACACAATAATCTTCAATTGATCTAGGAACTCTGGCACTGAAAGCGTGCATAACACAAGGTAATGATGTCGTCACCGAGGGACGACAAGAATAGAACCCAAATCCCTTGACTCCCCAGCTTGTGTTTTCCACTAATTGTGCTCCTTTCTACTCATTCGAGAGCATCAAGTGTGAAGGGCTGGAGAAGGGACTGGACACATGCGCCAGGGTCGCGAGGTGGAGACGGCCCGGAAGGTCCTCAGGAATCACTCCTTGGCACTTGTCTTTTGTTTCGGCTGAGGACGATGAAAGCTACAGCAACCACCAACCCTTGGGACCAAGAACTGGAACTAGGTACTGCCCGTGGCGGTAACTTGTCTCTTCATTTTAGGCCTTTCCGCTTTTTCACGGCTCCCTCGCGGCCAGCCCTAACGTTCTCTCCCCATCCTCAGCTCTACTCCGCACTGGAGTCCCCGCTGACCTTTGTAAGAGGCGGCTGCGCTGCATCCGTCCTCCACCTGGCCCGGCGTACAGTCCTTAGGACAGGTGTTCGAGGGGGAGGGGGAGGTTTCTCTAGAAAATGAATGCTAATCAAGCGTTAGAAATGGGTTTCAACTGTTAGCAACTTGAGAGGTGGGAACCGGGGTAAATACCCAAGTCAGCTCTGCGTGGGTCTGTGCAGCTCATCACGACAAAGCAAAATGTAGACATATAGGCACAGAGCTTTTCTCTCTAGCTGGGAGCCTTACACAGCTCAACCATCCCCTAGGCAACCTCCCGCTGGAGGACGCTTTCCGGAGCGCGCGTGTTTACACTCTTCCTGGACCGGGGGTGCCGGAGAACGTCGCTCGCGGACTCTGGGGGATTCCAAACCGTTACTCCGCCCGCCGGGGTGGGGACAGCCCAACGGCTGAGCCTGCGCAGTTGGGCTAGGTCGGCACCAGGGTACCGGCGCACTACAAGTCCCAGAAGGCTAAGCTCCGCGCGGAGTTGGGGTGTGCCGGGGGGCGCGGCGGCCGCCTTACCTGCCGCGAGCTTAGTCCTCCGGTTTCTACCGGCTCTTCCCCTCCCCCGTTCCCGTCAGTGTCCTCTCCATATTAAAAGGCTACTTCCTCTGGAAGCAGATGAGAGGAACCCTTAGTAGCCTCTACACTGACCCTCCCCGCATACTCGCTTTTTCTCTCTCTGCGCCGAACTGAGCCTGACTCCCTCACCGGAGTCTGCTAGCAGACGCAAGAGAAGGGAACTTTTGGAGGCACCAACCTGGGCCACCTGGTCACACTTCCGCCTCCCGGGCTCCGGAAGGTACCGCGCACGCGCTCCCTGCGACTCCGGAGCGGTTGACTTCCGCTCCCACTGTGCCCTGCGAGTCGAATCATGGATCACACTGGTAAGGAGGCGGAGGCAGTGGGGGTCCAGGTTCCATGCCCCCTTGGCCGGCCTGGGACTAGTCGCCCAGCGAACATAGAGGGGTTACATTCGCCTTACAGCCCTGGGGTGTGGCGGCGAGGAAGGAATCTCACAGACCCCCTTCCCGTGTCCGGCCAGGGCCTGCTACTTCCTGGCCTACCCTCCGATGTGGTACCTACAGCCTCCGTGCCGGCAACGGCAGCTCCTTCTGTGCCCGGAGCCGGCACCGCGGGGAGCGCGGGCTTCGCGGAGAGGAGAGAGCGCCGGCAGTTTTTTCCCTCATTTTGGGCGCTCTGCCCTATGTTACGGGGACTGGCGGGTAGAAAGTCTGGGAAGTCTCATTACGCTGGGAGTCGATGTGCTACAGTGGGTTAGAGACTTCCTGCTGTTTCAGTCAGCTTTGGGCGGGTGCTGCATTGGTCACTGCCTGTCGTTGTTGTCTCTCCGATCTTTCTTGGACTAGAGGTGGGAGAAGAGAGTCAGATAAGGGTTTTGGAATGATACCGGGAGCAGCTTTTCTGCTTAAGCCTATAGCATGCCCCGCGCTTCAGCTGTGGTCCTTAACCATCAGTCTTGAGGTTAAAATCAAGATATTCTCATTACTTTCTCCAAATAAGAATGGCTCCACTCTTTCTTAAGTGTTTTTTGTCTTTTGCTTCCTTGCAGTTTTTGGCTGTTGAATGAGTGCATTTGGAGTTGGATACTGCTCCGTTCAGTTGTATCAGCCGTGTTACTAGTAGGGTGATAAAAGACTTTCTCCAGTATCAAGTATTAGTTAGGATTCCTCAGTCATCAACTGTTTACTTAACTTCACACACACACACACACACACACACACACACACGTATGTATATACACATACTCTCCTAGGCTTGGAGGTGGAATGGTAAACAAGATGAACTGAGTCCCTGTCCTCATGGAAGTTATGTTCTATTGGAAAAACCACAAAGAACAAGTTTTTAGAAATACAGATTATTATGAGGGCTTTGAAGAAGACATATGGGGCTGTGGAAGGTGGAAGCTTCAGAGAGGGTGGTCAGGAAGAGTCTTTTTAGGAAAGTAACATTTGTAAGCTGTGATCTGATGGATGAGAAGAATCCAGCTTGGCATAAATCACGTGGAAAGCATTTATAGCACGTACTAAGACTCTGAGGGAGGAAAATATAGAGAAAACCAATCAGCTGCACTTAGGTAGCGGGAAAGAGCCCTAAGATAAATTGGTAAGGAAGGCAGGAGTTGGGTGGTGCAAGACTTTGAAGTCCATGGTAAAGATTTGAGTATTATTTTAAGTGCAATATGAAGCCATTGAACAGAAGTGGAGTAGGAACATAGTCTCTTTTTAAAGTATAATAGGTTGTTGTATGAAGAATGGTGTAAGAGAGGGAGGCAAGATAAATAGAAAATTTAAGAAGTGATTGCACTAGACCAGAAACGAAGCTTGGTTTAGTGATGGTGGCTTGGTTTAGTAAAAACAGGAATGGGCAGATTCAGTGAATCTTTTGCTGGTACCACTCAGGCCCTGGTGGATTGGTTTGGAGGCATGTTAGAGAAAGGAAAGGTGTGTAGGGTTCTAGTTTGAGTGGTGTCCTTTATTGGAAGACTTGGGAGAAAAATACCTTTTTTTTTTAAAAAATGGAGTAGAGGTGACAAATGGGAATTTGGCAACAAGACTTTGGACTGCTAAGTGTGAGGTGTTTGTTGGGACATAGAAGGGGAGTTGTCAAGTGGAAATCACAGGGCAAATTGTTTGGGACTTGGTACCATATAATGATTTTAAGGCATGAGGATGGATGAGATCACTTAAAGAAAGGGAAAATAGTAGAGCAGAGGGCCTAGCAGTAGGGAACTCTAGTGTTTGGAAGTTTTATAGAATTTAAACCATGAAATCTTGGTGTTAGAGAAGCAAACGTGCCACATTAGTGAAATATTTCTCATTTGAGCCAGTTACTGGAATTGGGAGTCAAGCACTTTTCACAGTTTAAGGATGTTACGTTAGGAAATTGTAATGTGGGTTGGTGTGTATCTGAGTATTTATTATCCTAGTTTTCTAAGTTAAAATTTTGCCTAAGAAAGTAAAAGTCATCCTAACATGGAAATATTCACTAATGAACTGACCACTTGAAAAAATAGTTCCTACTCAGATATCCCAGATACTTAACACGAGCCTCTTTTCTGTTTCTTTTTTTAAAAATTTCCTTATAAGGCAGTGTCCTTACCAGTTTCATGTCAGAATATGGTATCAAATGTTGTACACTGATTGTGATTACAAACCTTAAACAATATTCAAGTTTTCATCATATTCATAAATGTGAATTTGGTAATTGTTTGAATCACAAATAAAATCATTGGGAAATGAGGATGTGCCAGATAGCCAATAAATTGAAGACATTAGGTCAGGATAGGCATCTCAAAAGGAAAATTCTAATATCAAAGGATTAAAAGAGGCCCGTGGGGAAATTGGTGGAACGCTTGAATGTTATGCAAAAATGACTGGTTTTGTGAACGTGCTGAAATTGTCAGTCGTAAAATGAAGGCTATCCTGTAGTATTGTAATAGAAAATTACTCCAAGAAACTCCTAATACTTGATTGAGTCTTTGGCCATTCTAAAAATTAGCACTTAGTTGTAACTGTAACCTAAATGTTGTAAAAATATTTCTTGATTCCTTTAATTCAAGATAAAATTCTGCACAAATCTTTTTAAAACCTATATAATACAATATTCTATATTAGGCCTTTTACAGTGAATTTCACTTCATATGGGCAGTTACATCCTTAATTCTCACTTTCTATAATATCCAAGGACTTTCGTTGTTAGGCCTTTAGGGTTTTTAGTTGTGATATTCAAAAGGAAATTGTGCTGTATATTTTGACACTTAATAAACCCCCCCAAGCCCCAAGATAAACCCAGAGTTATGTCACTATTAAAGCTGTGCTTTGTACTTGGAGTCTGAGGCAGGAGTTAGAGGGCAACAGGCTCTTGAAAGTCATAATCGTGACCTCAGGTGTCTAGGGTAGTGTGAAAAGGGCTTGTAGTAATGAAATGTTCACCAAGGTAAAACTGTTCAGAGTTCTTTTACTGTTGGAAAGACGTCATTGAACTGTCTCTGATAACTTGCTATTTTTTTAATTCAGTTTTTAATTTATTGAAAAGTCAGGAATACCTTCTAAGCAAAAAAAAAAAAATCATTCTGTCATACCTTTTTGCTCTTACATTGTAGGTATTTTAAACAGCTAGAGTCAAAGCAGATGAAATACATTATCCTTTTGCTGTTTCATTGCTTGTAGATATTTAGCAACTAAGTAAGCAGCTAGAGTGAAAGCAGATGAAAGCATTATCTGATTGTTGATACATTTTGTGAAGCATTGAGAGTTAAGTCAAGATAGATTTATCCTAGTTTAAGACTTTTAACTGTCCATGTATTCCCATTCTTGTGGTTTTTTTTTTTTTGCAGATTAGCTGTTATGAAAATAATAATAGAAAGCAGACTGAAAGATATTTAAATTAATAGCTAAGGACCGATTTTGAATTTTGTTCTGTGTATTATTGAGAAAGAGTGCAAACGATGTGTAATTCTAGAATCCTTGGAGATCATTACTGCTGGGTAGGATACTACTTCCAAATTTGACTTTAGTGAATTTAATGTGGATAGTTTGGTTATGTCTCTGATTGTGCTGTCTCCTGCAGTGGCAGTTACACAGTGTGCTCACTAATTATCATCTTTAAAATGTTGCTATTTTAAATTATTTGCATTTCCTACTTTAGGGCATTTCCTTTTCTGTTTTTAGCAGATAAAGGTAAATATTTTCTAGATTGTATTGTGTCGTCATGGACTTGAAAAAAGGTGGCTTTTAATCTTAAAATAGAGTCAGGTCTATGAAATAATGCTTGTATTACTCATAGTATATGAGTAAATTTATTTCGTAAGCTAATAACAGAGACATAGAAAGTGTCAGTTATTTAGGCCTAGTTGGAAGTACAGAAATCTTGCATCCTCCTCACCTATAATTTACCGTTACAGTGCTGACTAAGAATAACGCAGTCACCTGTACATCTGGAAATGTTCTAGTGTAGTAATGTGTGTGTTTACTGCTAAATAGTGTGGTAATTTTTACTATATTCCTGAATGCTTTTTAGAAAAACTGTTTTACACCGAAGAGGATAATCACATCCCTAAAACTAACTTCATTTTCAGGGCATTATTTATTTAATTCTACCATTGTCAGTGTTAGTTTTGTGTTTCCAGTATTCTTGATTGCCCTGATGTAGATGCAGATTACTAAATTCATTGAGTGCCTACTTTGCATGCTTGATTGAAATGATGGTTTTCTTTCTTTTTGCTGTTCTTTCTTTACCTTTTTTTCCTTCTTTAAAAAAAAAATCTTACAGTTGTTACACAGAAGGATTTTATGTTTCTATAAACCGCTCTGG